ATCGGATCAGTATCAACAGGGAGGCGTGTGGTGCAGTGGGTTGTGCGTTGGTGTTGGGATCAGGGGGTCAAAGGTTCAAACCCCACTGCAGTCAGCATGTCGTTGTGTCCCTGAGACACTTCACCCCAAATTGCTCCTGTGGGGATTGCCCACAGTTTTGAGTATGTCAGTCGCTTTGGATAAAAGAGTCGAACAAGTGACATGTAATAAAAAAGGTATTGTGAAATCAATAATCGCATCCGCTATTGGATTAGGACAGACTTTTTGACATGCATCTTCTGGTCTTGCATAATAACTGAATATTTGGGGCCATGTGATTGCCAGAAAGTTTAAGTGGCATTGACAATATCCCTGTCCTGAAAAATGTTGAAATAAATAACCTTTTAGGTTCCAGAAAATTAAAATGAAGCTGTTCCTTTTAAAAATGTCTTGCGATGTAACCACGGCGACATGTTGATGCACCAGAAGAAACATTTAGGGTCACAGTTGTTGCTTTTTTAGTGGCAGGGACTAGACAAAGACCTTTTCACCTCTTCATCAAATTCAATCCGCTGTCAAACCCTGAGCAAAACAAGTGTCTGTCTGTTCACAGGAGAAAGAGTGCTTGTCTGCAGGTTGCTGCATTAGGGAGGCCTTTGTGGCCAAAATGAACCGTAATGAATCATAATCCTTCCTAGAGTAAAATGACTCTGTTTACTTCTGGCTTAATGCCTCGAAAACTCTTCCATGCCACTTATGAAGGCTTGATGTGGTTCACTTTACCAATTTTGAGCCTTGTTGTGTTTGAGTTTGCTTAGCGGGCATCGTGTGTGGGTCCTGCCTGAGCTCTGCTTCTGTCGAGAACTACTCATTTTGGTGGAAGTAAGGGTGTAATTGGACTTTTCAAGTACAAAGCCATTGGGTTTAATGTTTATCCCTGTGTCTGTTGTCGCAACTCCAAACGTATAATCAGTGTCTGGACTTCTTAGGTGGCAGATGTCTCTCTAAATAGTTTGAACATCTACCTAATGCTGTTATTACGGACTCTGAGACGCATGCAGCCAGACGCTTACTACCTGTAATTCTAACCAACACACTTCCCTAGCCTTCTTATAACCCTAAACTCCACTAATCCATGCAGACTGTGTTTCCAAAAGTCTTTTCACTGCCCTTCCATTGATAGCCTAATGGCAAATAATTCAACCCCACAAAGGCTCTGACTTGTCAGCAGAGAGCTCCATTGAGTGAAACCTCCGCAGACTGACCGTTCTCATCAATCTGTGCTCACTTCTTTCTCTCTGCTCCCAAATGAACAATACCACCCCGTCCTATGGATCTTAGCAACCAAGCTCCATGAATATTCCCACTGAAGCCTCAATGCTTGCTGTGTCACGTCTCATCGAAGGGTTGGGTTGGAAAAGGGGGGTACCAGTTAAAGGTGTTGTGCTTTAAGGTTTCAGTAAGATGCTTTTTGTCCTCTGTGACTCTGGTTTACCTTCAAATGAAGTCAGAATTCTTTCCACTTGCTATGCCATTGTCATTGTAGAGAGTTTGAACAAGGGTTAGCGTTAGGGTTAGGTTTAGATAAGTCTTAAATGTTTTTTTTTAATAAGGATCATACATTGTCTGCATTTAATTTGCAGAAGGAGTTACATTTACAGATGAGTCGTTCTAAGGCTGATGGTAACACTTTTGTTCTTAGTTCCCCCACATCTGAGAGCGGGTTGTTTTTGATTATAAAACGGACAAGTCAAATCAAGCAATCTGATTGGTTCTTAGCCGTGATATACTGAGCGTATACCACGGGTAGAATTGTAAGTTACTTTTCACAACAAGTCAGTATCCCTCCGCGTCTGAGAAAAACAGTATACCGTTGGGCTGAAAAGTTTGTTTTTCATACTGGAACAAGAAAGCAGCGGAGAAGTAACGGGGCAGAAGCCCTCCTTTTTGACGCAGCGGTCCAGACATAGACATCAAACGGCAAAACATATTCAGTGTGCAGTTCCTTTGGCATTAGGGCAGGGATATCTAGATACTTTTGAAGGTTTGACATAATGAATTGTGCTACTTTTAAAGCAAGCAACGATGTTTTCAAATCTGTAATCAAAGAGGTCCGCAAAAACGCTATCGACCAATCAGATTGCTTGATTTGACTTGTCAGTTTTATAAATATATATAAATTTCTTCCATTACGAAACAAACTTACAAAGCATAAAATGGAAACATTTAAGATTATCTTCGACCTCCGGGGGTCTACTACTATAGTATGGAGGAGTGGATTGAGCAGTGCCTATCTCCAGAAAAAAAAGCACCTAAACTACGACATGCAGAGCTACGTGAAGAGCAGGTAGACCAACTGGAAAAGTACCACCATTCAAAAGCTTTCTGATGCGGGTCTTGAAACAAAGCAGAGAAATTATGACCGTTAGTGGCCACAGGTGCGAAAGCTCTCTCCAGAGCTACTGGAAGCCCAATCTCGGGGACCGGAGAAAGTGGAGCAATATTCTCGCCACGCCAAGCAACAGCCTCAAACAACCTCAACCTATACAAGTGACCACGTAAGCCATGCTACTGATGCTGGACAGTTTTTCAGTGGATGCACAATAAACAGCAACATACACATTAATGTAAATAAACAGCCAAATAATGGATCAACGCTCTCTGTCTAATATGTTCGCTTGCTGTTAGTGTTGTTGCATAGCAACCACCTTGCACTATGTTTTGTGCAGAAG